AATTAATCTTACTATACTATAAACAGAAATGTCATTTTTGCAGTTCTCTTTTCAAGAAGTTAGGATACTGAGATCTGAGGTCATCAGCAATGAAAATTCAGATTGTGCTGTTAGATATGATGTTGTATAGTCTTGTAGGCACTTACTGATGTTCCAGAGACACCCACTGCTTTAATTGTAACATGAAAATGTAAGCAGAAGACCTCATAGGTGGTTACTAAAGTTTCAGGAGAACCTGTTCCCTCCAACTTTAGAGTAGAATATACAGACAATATGCTCCTCCTAACACTGTAGCCACCTATGAGACTACACTGCTGTGTCATCTGGCAGTAATCAGGGTTTACTGCCACAGGATTATTTAATTTAAACTCTGATTAAATACACGTACAACAAATGTTAGGTATGCAAGGTATGACTTCTTATACTATGTGGTGACTTCAATACTGAAGCTGTTAAATCTACTGGCTCGTTGTTTGTTGCGGGTTCATTCTGATGAAGGAGGGAAACTAGAGCATGTGTTAGTGGCTCAGCCGTAATCTGGAGTCTCCATCCTAACACTGTGTTGGGGTTTCTTAATGTACCTACAATTTAGCATGTTTATCACAATCTGCACAAAACTGTAGATAAAACTTGCAACAGAATGATATGTTTTTTTAATTGCTAGTGGGGTCCCTTGTACTGCAGCCACTTCTGGCCTATTGTACCAGCCCCAGATGATAGGTGAGGGTGACTGTGGAGCAATTGGTGGAATGAAGATTGGCAGGGGAAACCGAAGTACTTGGAGAAAACCTGCCCCAGCACCACTTTGTCCATCGCAAATCCCACTTTACCAGACCCGGGCTGCCGCAGTGGGAAGCCAGCAAATATTATGGTTACTAATGATGCTTAGCCACTGCACATCCTAAGGGTCCCATCAAGTTATCAGCTGGCCCCTATAGACGGAGGTTGAGTGGTCAGCTTCATGCTGTGACCTATGAAACATCAAATGAAAGGATCTCAGGTATTCACTAGCTGGGTTGACTGTAGAGCCATGTTGGATATGATGACAAAGAGAAAAACCCTTACCCAAATCATCCAGCCTGTAGCCAATTACTTCACTTATATCAGTTTCCTGGCTGGAAACAATAATTACAGATTTGAATGAGGGGAGATATTTGTGAGATAGACAATTTTGTATTTGATGTAATATGAGTGCTCACACTGTTGTGTCAATAAACTGAACAAATAAGAAGCTAGCCAGATGTTTTATTCTTATAACAGTACATACACAATTTGAAAGGCACAATAAACACAGTTATATATTCACACACACACACAGCATCCCCTCAACCTGTTATATTACATAAACAAAATATTTCATTTGTAATATAATATATAATACATATTTTGGCACAAATGTTAATTACAAATACTGACCACACTCAAGATATAGGCATATGTTGTATATGGATATGTGAACAATGACTGGAAAGTTAGATCACAATAGTAACGAGATTCAGAGGATTTCAGCATTTCATTACATACCAACTTTTACACAGTTCAGAGGGGAACACCTGGTGAAGTTAATGCTAAAATCAGGTTAGACAGCAAGAAACTTGGAAAAGAAATAATGACATATAATTTCCAGCAATTGTCTCCATCTGGAAATAATAAAAAACAGCCAAATTCTGTTTTTGGATTACTTTAAACAGGCATGGTTCATTTTGCAAGACTGTCTGCTGTACAGACATAAGGAACACAAGAGAACTGGAACCACATGGCAGGGTAGTGCCAGAAGGCTGTACAACACTTCCAATGGTTTATATATAATAGATTATGTTACACTAATCAAAAAGATGACCTCACACATAAGACAGGTACCCTCCACAGTGGAAAGTTTTAGGGAGAGATCATTTTATTACCAGTTCAGATGAAACTTATTGACTTCTAATATGAAAATATCACCAATAATCAAAATCTCTTGTTTTTAAAACTCTAATGCCAGCAATACAATGATGGCGGAAGACCTAAAGGATTATATTTCAATGTCATATATTTAAGAAGAAAAATCTGAGTGATTCATTATGACTAGATAGCTTCATAAACAAAAAATTTATTCTTCTATTTATGAAAATTACTCAAAGCTGGTCAGCCACTGAGGCGCCTGGACATAAAATATTTCATCTAAAACCATGTAATACATAACCATGTAATCATGACTTTGCTTACTTGTAAGATGTAATTTAATTGTTTAGTGGAAATCATTCTTCCAGATGGTGAGAAAAAGGATATACATTATCAACTGACAATTTCTTAATCAGCACCACTACTGACTGTCATACTAACTCTTGGAATATACCACAGCACTTTCCACAACACAGAAACATTGCCACCCAGCTCTGATGCCAAACCTGCTCGACTCCTTACAAAGTCTTGTGATGCACAGACTATCAGGATCTGGTCTCATGAAACGAACAGGCAAATGTCCCATCCTTAGAGTCAATCCCATCTATCCCTGTGAACATAGATCTTCTGATGCCCAACTGCTACACTTCTCACCATACAAAAAACCAAACAAAGAGAACTGTGAGTAGCTACAGGATGGCACCCATTGTAGTACAAGGACAGTTCAAAATGGTTTTTTGAAAGCGAGGCTGTGGATGGCTGTGTTTAGAAGGATGATTATAATATTTACTTGATGACTATATTATTGGAAGAAAGTTAACTGTGATTAAGAAGCACAGATGAAGTTTTATTGAAAAGATACTGAAAGGTAATGTGAATTATGTGCATATATAATATTCATTTATGATTTAAAATATTACATTTTATGAATGGTGAGAGAGTTTAATAGCAAAGTGTAAATGACCATGGGCTTCAAGCAACTGATACATCAGTTCAGTTCATGGGTTCAATTTCTGATGAGGTCATTGGAATTTTCAATTGACATAATTCTTCCAGGCACACATGACCCTGGGGTCGACTCAGGTTATAATAGAAATGAGTATCAGGAATCTTCCTGAGGGGTAAAGGGCAACTGGCACACAAGGCTAACCTCACTGCCATCTGTGAGCCAACTGTCTTGAAAATGTGGGAGCCTCAAAGTCCTACAACCCTATGGGCCTCCACAGCCTATTACAGGAATTACCTTTTTACCTTTTACTGGAAGGATTATATTGTGGTGTATAGACTGATTGGTAAGCAGTGACTCTCTAAACGACCATTTCTGGCCAATGGCTCAGTAAATACGTTCCCACAGCAACAAAGAAGCATGCAACAATAGAGTTGGAAATTAGGTATTTCTATGTGGTCCATGCTGAGATGTTATAAGCAAGGGAGTAGTCAGTTGAGAGATTTCTGTATTGGAGGCCATGAAATACGTGTAGAACCAAAGTGCATAAAGGTGAAGAATCGACACTGTTAGAAGCCATTGCCAAGGAATGGCTGATGAAGACATAGCAGACTGGGAAGTCCTTAGCAGGTGTTGTGGTGATTTTTCAATTGAGGAGGATAATGGTGGCACTGTAATCCCTTGTAGTTCTGAATTGTGTATAAATGGCCAATAAATCCATTCACCAATCCAAGCCCTGTCTATAGTCATACTATGTGTCAATATTGTTATTTACTTTGTGTACTTCACATGAGCTCAGTGGTTCTATAACCATTCCCAGCTTTTAATTGTTCATGTGTGGGAATCATCAATATAAATTGTTTCAGCAATGTAAATACAATCATGACCGAAAAATACATCCACTCATCTCTCACAATTTCAAGATTGTCTGATGAGTTGGAAATGTTCACTGTCATGTGTACAATACATGTATTTTTACCAGAACATCTGATATGAGATATTTTTATTTGAATACTCATACTGACTGTGATGTGCATCATCCTGACATAGAATTAGGCATGAAGTAATGTTTTGATTCAGATAGTTTCCTCCAATATTGTTTGAAGGGCCTTCTATTATATAAACACATTCTGTGACCCTATAACAGACTTTCCTAACCTTTTGCAGTAAAAGTAAAAAGTAAAGCTAACCCTGTAACAGGCTGTGAAGGCTCGTAGGGCTGTGAGACGTTGAGGGTCCCACATTATCTAGACAATTGGCTCAAAGATGGTGGTAAGGTTGTCAGCTTTGTGTGCTGGCCGCACTTTACTCCCCAGGAATATTATTTATTTAATTCCTGGTACTCGTTTCTGTTAGAGGCTGAGTGAACTCCAGGGCCACAATGCAGCCAGAATGATTAGGTCAATTGAAAAAACCCAATGACCTCATTGGGACTTGAACCCACGACCTTCCGGCTTGTAGCATAGTGCCTCAACCAACTATGCTACCGTGTGCCGCTTTGCCACGGCAGTATCTGAAAAAATGTATATGAAATCAAAGTTTCCTCAATTGTGGAAGAAATAAAATTTTCAATTAATACTATTTTGTTATAATGCTTACTTGTGTTACCACCTTGTTTCATCAAAGACTTTTGCGTTTTGTGTTTTACAGTCAATTTATGTTCTTAAAATCATTCATGATAAGTCAGAATGCCTCTTGACTTAATTCAACTGTACATATTCCTGGGAACTTATGAAAATAGAAAAACGTTTTACAGTGATATTATGTCTGCTGAATATGTCATGAAGAGGCAGTAAAGATACATCCTCTCTTAGAAAATAGCACAAAGTAGACATTGGTTACTGAATCTGACTACACACCTCCATTCAGTACCAAGGTTAAGGAGACTGAAGGTATGTCTTCCTTTCTGCATGTCTCCATGACACAGTCATGACATGATCTTTAAGCAAAGGGAAAACTTTAACTACTTCACATACACTCAGATATCAAAATATGTGATTTTATAGCACTATTAGTGTATTTTTTTGTTGTCTCAGTTGTACTGTATTTATGGCTTTTATATTTGTATGACTTGTTCCACATCCTACAGTCATTCTGACTTACTTTGGATCTATGGAATGTACTGTATGTATGTATGTATGTATGTAATTATTGTAAAGGAAGATGATGGGAAAATGTGTGTCACTTAAAACTGTTCTTTATAATACTTGGTTCCTCAGAAGTAAGGCTCTTAAATAGGGTTTCTTATCTGGTGTCAGTAATACAACTTTGTTATTTGTGAGGTCACAATTATTGAGCTAAGATACTCAACCAAAGAATGCCTCTTTCATGGCATTCTAAATTAGTATGAGATAATTATACTAATGCCCATGTCATTTTCACAAACTGTTACAAGGTTACTTGCCAGTATTGTCTCAAGTCTTCACACTTAAATTACTACATTAGATAGATCATGCACTGTTCTGTAACAGTCCAACTCCTGTCATTCACTTTCAATCACAATCTCTCCTCAGCCAAGAACATGATAATTTTTGTTTTATGTACTCATGCTGCCACATCAGCAGCTGCCACATGTTGAATGTGGTGGATGCAGAATTACATTTGCTTCTTGAGCTCCAGGTTTAGGGCCTCCATGTCGGCCTGGCAACATGGCACAGTCTACAGCCATCTCCATCCTCCTCATGACACGATCCAGAAGCATTTCAACAGCCCGAGACACATTCTGTCCTGTTGCCGCACTCGTCTCTAAATACAACAAGCTGTTCAGAGACAAAACTTTTAATGTTCACATGATACACATTCTACAACTTGTGGCAGGGATCAGTTATAGCTACGGTGTATTATTGACGGAATCATTACTGGCAGTGGACAACTGAAATACGCTGAGATAAATCCACACCAATGATATTTCTTCCACCAAATATCCTCCACAGACTAATCAAGGCTTACATGAAGAGAGACTAACAACCCATCCCTTACTTATGGTAAAAACAATCATTTCAAGTGATCTGATTACATGATATTAACGGTTGTGAAGTACTCAGCTTACCCATATTTCTCAGCTGTCTCTTTGGCACGCTGCTCACTGATTATCCTCTTGTCCTCTAAGTCACACTTGTTCCCACACAACACCACATCTGGGTCCTCACAATATGCATGTGTCTACAAAAGGACACATCATTAGGATCTGGTTCGTGAGTATCATTGCACACAGTCTCGGCATGCATTTTTACACCTTGGCATTCTGAATCTGCATTCAAGTATAGGTAGATATCATAAAGCTAAATAAATTGTTACCGTAGTTATTTTGGTTACTATTCTTACCATAATTCCTGTTGTCAATATGGATGGTTCATATGATTACCACAGTTCAGTAGTAGCATAGCTCCCATTTCACAAGTTTATGTATCGGCTACATTTGTATTACTGAGTTTAGGAAATAAACTATGAATTTAGGTTGGCCCCAAATGGCCAAGTGTAAGAGGGGGCAACAAAATGTATGCTTGTCCGCTTCTACACAGTCGGAACAAATTGGAAGGGAGGGCGATGACAACACAGTCAACACTCCAACTTCATGTATTCTGCAAAGTTAAATTATATTTTTATTTTCAGGTACATTTCTGATACCTCTCACATGCGTGTGTACACACACAACTTATAGAACATTGTGAGTCCATCCTAACTGAGGTTTTTCTGTCATCTTCAATCTGTCCAGGCAAACGTCAGGATAAAAACAGGTAAAGCTATCCTTGTAACAGGCCATGGAGGCCCGTAGGGCTGCAAGATGTTGAGGGTCCCACATTATCTAGACAGTCGGCTCACAGATAGTGGTAAGGTTGTCAGCCAAACGTGCTGACTGCCCTTTGCCCCCCCCCCCAGGAAGATTCCTGGTACTCATTTCTGTTAGAGGCTGAGTCGACCCCAGGGCCATAGTGTGGCTAGAAGGATTAGGTCAATTGAAAAAAATCCACTTCATTGGGAAACGTCAGGTTACAGTATCACAATTAAGGTGACATCTGGCTCCTTCCACAATCTTTCCAGTTCATTACTTACTAATCATCCTACCATCTGATGCTAAATAATCTTCACTGTTGGCAGTGCTGATGTTAGCAGCAGTAATGACAATATGGAATATGGAGAAGGAATGTTGGTAGTACTGTCCAGCAGTAGTGATGCATATCAACTTCATGGGTTATTTAGTATCAAGTGGGACTGATAATAACTATGTGAAGGGATTTTAGATGAGGATTTGTGGCCATTTTAATCACTATTTACAAAGGAAGAACAAATGGGGGTCATGCCTGTCTGTGGCTTAGTAGCAGTGCCTGACCTCTTGGACAGATTTTCTTAAAATCTGATATGAGAAACTTCCAAAAACCTGTCAGGCAATATTGATTTTCAGCCACGCTGGTCTGTAATAAAGCCTGGTTTACAAGTGACCATAAATTGACTTTTTCATGTATCACACAAACACTTTTGTTGAAATTCAATATGGGAGACTGCAATTCATTTTCATTTAATTAAGTAAGTTCTTAAGCTTTCATAATGAATATGTGTGCTAAAATCTTCTTTGGTGATCCTATCTTTTAAGTGCGCTTAATAAATTTTAAAGAACATCAATAATAATTTTGTGTATGCCCTTTCCAGTCTTGTTAAGATACCATTCTCTCATTCGTATGAACAAACCAGGCGGATCTATGACTAACACTCCACTTGGCCACGCCATAGCTCAAGCGGTTAGTTGCTGGCTTCCCATCGTGGCAGCCCAGGTTCGATCCCGGGTCTGGTCAGGTGGGATTTGTGGTGGACAAAGTGGCGCTGGGGCAGGTTTTCTCCGAATACTTCGGTTTCCCTTACCAATCTTCATTCCACCAAATTCTCCATCATCATATTCACCCGGGGCAGGCTACAATAGGCCAATCAGGTGCCACCGTGCCGAGTGGACCCAACTGGACTCCACCTCCCACTAAGCAAATTAAAAAAAGGAAAAAAATTAAATTAAAACGCTCCACTCGCAAAAAATGAAATAAAAGTTTACCATAACATATCTCAAAAGTTTGCCAGTTTTACCTGTTACTATTATAGAATGGAAGTAATTAAAAACAACTTGGTTATGTATCCTCCACCAGCATTCTCCTGAATACATCAGCATGCTGGTGTTCTAGGAAAATATAATTTTCATACAATATTTACAGACCTTTCATAATCTTCTATCATTTAACATTTCAAAAAGATTCATCAGGCATCACCATGAAAAGCACATTAACATTTCATGTTATTTGCAATGCTGGCATTTCATTTTACGCATTAATTGCCTCTGAGAGTTGGATAAAGATTTGTCATCATAGAACATTTCAGGACCATACACTGAATAATATCAGCTGCAGTCACCCCAAGATGTATCTCTGAAGCTACCATGTTGGTATCAGATGGAGTTTAAAGGGACTCAGATGACCCACAACAACATGAACTCTATATTAAATTCAGTGAAACCTGGCTACTTAAACTCATACACATAGAAACAGAATGCATAATCCTGACATATTTTTCTTTTGGATAGCAGATGAATACAAACTACCAGTATGTTCCTAGGTGACATGATCTTTGTGTCAGTTGTTACAAAATTCCTTCCATTAATTTAAAAATGTTTAGGGATAAACACAGTTTATCTTTACTGCATTTTCCCTCCAGGAGGTAATATGGTAATAAAATGGTGAAACATAAGTAACATGACTATAATTTGGCATATAACATTTTGGAAACTGGAACTTTGAAGACAGAAAAAAAAAACACCTCAGGTTAGGCAGTCCCCAAGCTAAAATTTGAACTGTTGATCAGTCACACATGAAGTGGGAGTGATATCAAATACACTGCAACATTTGGGACCAACATATTTTATTTCTCCAACAGTGACAGGGTTAAACGGTCCTTGAGGGCTTCCTACATACTCGTCTGACTCTCATCTCCCATTCACTTTATACACTTGTATGATGCTCCCACAGTACATAACGTCTGAAAACATGTTAATAATTAGTGAAATGTTAATACAGTGGTACAGGCAAACATACATGATGGGCATCTCTAAATGTTAGTGAGCCCCTCATAATATGTGGAGCTGAACCACTTCCATACCCTCAATTGGTCAAGCCAATTCCTTACTTCCAAGAAGGACTGCTCGTTAGTCAAGTCAAAGAGTAGCAAGAATCCCATTGCATCTCTGTAGAAGGCGGTCGTTAGGCTACGGTATCTGAGGCAAGACAATACAAGGTCATTATAATACTACATAGGGAGGACTCTTCACAGAGCTAATGCAATTAAAAGCAAGTGTCATATATACTGGAAACTGTCACAGATATTCATGAGGTTATCGTATGTGATATAATATAATTAGAATCATTACAGGATGTAGAAGTAGAGATTCATGTAGAGAATTATTTAAGAAATTAAAAATTCTACCTCTTCAATCGCAATACATATTATTGCTTCTCTTATTTGTTGTTTACAACAAAGATAAATTCAAATAAAATTCTGATGTCTATAACATGAATACTAGACAAAAATATAACTTCCACCTACCCTCATCAACTTTATCAGTATATCAAAAAGGAGTCTACTTTACTGGCATAAAAGTGTTCAACAATCTGCCACAAAGTATTAAAAACTTGGGCAATGATACTAAAAAGTTTAAATCAGAGTTAAAGAATTATCTACATGCTCATTCCTTCTACTCTTTAGATGAATACTTCAATGTAAATAGAGAATGATGTAAAATTAAGTTATATTAATTTTTAAGCTAAAATTGCCTGTACTTATGTATGTAACCTTTTGACTTGTTCTGTATCCAAAGGTACTAACCTGCTTAGGATTTATAGAATGTAAATAAATTCAATTCAATTCAATGAGAAGGTTTGAGGTGTACCTAGGTATTCTAGTACCTGAGGCAGGTTCCTTGTTCTTACACTTAAAAACTACAGAAAAATACTGCTGGCAGTGAGTAAACAAACAATGCACACAGTTCATATGGAGAGGTTCAATCTCAAGAAATTATATAAGTTAGAGGGTAAAGAGCAGAATCATATTGAAATCTGAAAAAAATCACAGCTTTCAAAATCTTAGATATTGAGATGGATATTACTAAAGCTTGGGAAACTATTAGAGACAATATCAAAATTTCAGCCAAAGAGAGTCTAGGTTATTATGAAATGAAAAAACATAAGCCATAGTTCAATGAAGGATGTTCAACATTATTAGATCAAAGGAAACAAGCCAAACTGCAGTGGTTTCAGTATACAAGCAAAATAAATGGGGATCATCAGAACAATATAAAATGTGAAGCCAGCAGGCATTTCAGGAACAAAAAGAGGAAATTTCTGAGAGACAGAATTAATGAGCTTGCAATGAACAGTAAGAACAAGAACACCAGAGACTTGTATAGAGGAATAAATGACTTTAAGAGGGGTCACCAAACTAGAAGTAACTTAGTGAAGGATGAGAATGGTGATCTGCTTGCAGATTCCCACAACATTTTGAATAGGTGGAAGAACTACTCTCAGTGATTGAATTTACTTGTGGTCAGTGATGTTAGGCAGACAGAAATAACTAACAGCTGAGCTATTGCTACCTGATCCTCATCCTTTTGGGGTGTAACTGCTATTGCAAAGTTGAGAAGGTATAAATTACTAGGTAGTGATCAAATTCCAGAAGGACTGATTCATGCAGGAAGTGAAATATTGTGTTCTGAGATCCGTAAGCTAATTAATTCCATTTGGCATAAGGAAGACTTGCCCGATCAGTGGAAGGAGTCTGTTAATTTACCAATTCATAAGAAGGGCAATAAAACTGACTGCAGTCATTATAGTGGGATATCACTGCTATCAACTTCATACAAAATTTTATCCAATATTCTTCTCTCAAAGTTAAGTTGATGCATAGATGAAATTTTTGGGGATCATCAGTGTGGGTTTTGACGTAACAAATCAGCTACTGATCAGATGTTTTGCATTCATCAGATACTGGAGAAAAAATTGGAGTATAGTGAGACAGTACATCAGCTATTTGTAGACCTCAAGAAAGCCTATGATTCAGTTTTGAGGGAAGTATTGTACATTATTCTAATAGAGTTTGGGGTACCCATGAAACTAGTTAGGCTGATTAAAATGTGTTTAAACGAAACATATAGTAAATTCTATATAAGTAAACATCTGTCTGATAATTTTCCTATCCAGCATTGTCTAAAACAACGAGATCCTTTATCACCACTCATTTTCAACTTTCCTTTAGAATATGCCATTAGGAAGGTCCAGGAAAACCAGGTGGGACTGAAATTAAATGGGACACATCAGCTGTTGGTCTATGCTGATGATGTTAATCTACTGGGTGATAATATAGATACCATAAAGAAAAGCACACAAACTTTTAACTGACACTAGTAAGGAGGTTGGTCTAGAAATAAACACAGAAAAAACTAAGTATATGTTGCTGTCTCGTCACCAAAATGCAGCGAAAATCATAACAAAAAGAGAGAGCTAACTGATGTTTTGAAAATGTGGTGCAGCTCAGATATTTGTTTAACAACCAAAACAAATCAAAACCTGATTCAGGAAGAAATTAACAAGAGACTGAATTACCGTTTAGTCCAGAAACGTTTGTCTTCTTGTTTGCTGTCTAAAAACGTAAAAATTATGATATACAAAACTATAATTTTTCCTGTGGTTCTGTATGGGTGTGAAACTTGGTACAAGTTAATGGGAAAACACCCAAAAGAATATCCATCATAGAGTCAGTGACTAACATACATGGATGAAGTTGAAACTCAAGTGCCATATTCAGGTTTATAAAGAATGGAAGCATGCAATTGCACTGTTCACGTGGGGTGAAAAAAGTGACTAATCACCTTGTATTGTATAAGATCTGTGTTTCTAATGTACCATGCACACAAAATTCATAATTCAGTGTCACTAATGACATCATTTCTGGGTGCAACATAGCATGGTGTGGTGGGCACCAGAATAAAAGTTAACACTTAAAGAAATTCCCCACAGGGTTAATTTCTCCTACACCAACTCCACATGTAGCAAGCAGGAATTAAACCCAGATCCTTGAAATGTATGGTATGATTTGTGGGCTTGTAAACAGGTGATTATGGGACCCGTGGCCTCTGGACCTGTCACTATAGGATGCTGAATGCTATAGCATGGGTGGTGAATCCATATCTGCAATGTACACAAAAACTGGGCCCCACCAACATGTCCATGTAGCAGGTAATGGGGGCTTTTAGCCAGAAGAAGAAGCTTTGAAAGAAATAATAAATACTTCATTACGGCCTCAGCTATCACCACTAGCCATTTTTTTTCCCCCTTTGGCACTACAGCCCCAGTGGGCCTATGCCTACCTCCATGAACTCCGTTCACTTCGCTTTTTCTAGATCGTGAGTGATCAGCTCATCGCAAGGCCTCTACCTGTAGACAAACACAGAAAAACGCACACAAACATCCATGCCGAGTGGGATCCGAACCCACGATCCCGGCTTCCAAGCGAGCGAAGACAGTGCATGCCTTAGACCGTGCGGTTACCGTGACCGGCACCAGTAGCCATTACAGAACCCTAATGTCATTACTAAGAATTACTGTGAAAAGGGTTTATTTTCATTACTGTCCAAGCATGCCTGCAACTTAATATCAAAACTTACCTCTCCTGACCAGCTGTATCCCACAGCTGCAGATGTACCCTCTGGCTGTGACCTTGAGACCGATACACCTGCAACATCAGATATTGTCATTACAAAAGGTTAATTAATTCCGTCCAGTGGGACGAAGTTTTTTTTTTTTTTTTTACTTTTTAATATTTTATCCTTAACAGGTTTCAGTCTTATAGATGATCTTCAGAAGGATATCAACACAATTAGAAACCACTATTACAGTATGTTTTGTGAGTATTAATACAATGAGTACAATACAATAGAATAATACAATGAGCTTGTATTAGTACAAGCCACTGTAGTTGTTAAAAACATTAGATTTTGTACTCATTGTATTATAACAACATTCTATGTATATATTACTATTCAGAAAAAGTAATAGTGGTTTCTAATTGTATTGATATCCTTCTGAAGATTGTCTATAAGGCTGAAACATGTTAAGAATAAAATATTAAAAAGGAAAAAAAAAAAAAAAACTTCATCAGTCACACTGGATGGAGGGACCAGGATGAAACAAAAAGAAATCAGACATTGCCATTTCTCACATTGGATATATACATGTTAGTATGACTACCAGTTAACGATCGAGATAGAATTGATGTAATACTTTGCTTTATGTCAAGTAAAGGCAAACTACAGCATGACAGCTTTCATTTCATCTCCTGGATCTGTCATGAGAAGTTTAACATAACTAAGACTATGGTAGTATAATCCACAGGTTCAACATCGCTAATACCAATCCCAGTGACCCTTACATAAGGGCTCACAGTATGAGAAGGGAAATAACTTAAAGGAGAGAAATAGAACATGCACTAAGCGCATTGGATGTCACACATCCTCCTCTGTTTGCATTACTACAGCCATGTTCACTCTCTAGAGCAACAGCACTGAGTGAAAGGTGGTGTTTTGGAGGACATCATATACGAATTTACCATCTGAGAGCCGGGGGTCCTCTGTGAACATTAAGCCTACATTCTTCTCAGACATGTCACAACGCAGTCAAAGCTCACATCCAAGAAGGCTGCAGTCATAAATTTATAAGTGGTCTAAGAAGCTATGGGGGCGGGGGCACGCAGTAGCGTAGTTGGTTGAGGCACTATGCTACAAGCCACAAGGTCACGGGATCAAATCCTGATGAGGTGTATTTTTATCAATTGACCTAATCCTTCCAGCCGCACTATGGTCCTGGGGTTGACTCAGCCTCTAACAGAAATGAGTACCAGGAATTAATTAAACAATTTTCCTGGGGAGTAAAGCGCGGCCGGCAAGTAAGGCTGATAACCTTACCGCCATCTGTGAGCTGACTGTCTAGAAAATGTGGGAACCTCAATATCTCACAACCCTATGGGTCTTCATGGCCTGTTACAGGGATATTTTTACTTTTATTTACTTTAGTAGGGAGCTATGACAGCTACAATAAAAATAAATTGATGATGCAACCAATGACTTCAGAACTTAACACATTCATTGTAACTTCCCATTAAAAATGCAACATGTAAACAGTAATAAAATTCTACTCATGTTGCAAATCTTGTTAGTTTACAACAGTGGGTGTAAGAAAACACAAAACAACAGCAGAATCGAACCAATGTCTTCTTTCTAAGGTGTTAAGGCTGGCTGTGGTACCTGCCTAGCCTGTGGGGATCTTTTGCTGGAGATGAAGTGGCCAAGTTTTGAAGCTGACCATTCATCTCCATCTAGATCCAAAATTAAGAATGTCTGGAGCTATAGCTCCACTTCCCCATACTTCTTCATGGACGGTTACCCAATTATGCACAGGGACAATTCTGCTTTCATGTACACATATAATCTATATCAAAAGTACATCACAGTGGACTAGAAATGATTACTGTAGGGAAAAATATATTTTCCCCTATATATAAACAGGACAATTAAAATAAATGCAGTAATCTCTTGCTACTACTGAATATTCCTACCAAGGAATCTGAAGATTAAATTGTTACCTTGTATTATATTTCAGTATACTTACATGCTGTTAATGACATGTGAGCTCATGCAGTGTAGTGATTTCCATCAATTAACTGTTGCCTGATGATGGCCTCATGTGCCCAAAACAAGTAGCAACAAATGACATTTTATGAATTCAAAATGTAACTATAAGGGACATTTAAAATAAAATTTGTGTTTGCATTATAGGTGGAAGTGAGTGAGTGAAGTTAGCTGTGTAACCAACATTCTGTGCTTAATAAATATTCAGTGCAAGGTTTTAATAGATTCTGAAGTATTATAAAGGTAATTAAGGTTACATTACTCAGTGACATCTGCTGCAAATTTCTTTACATAAATGACCTGTTAAATTGCATGAACAAGATAATCTACTCACAACACACCACTTGTACCACTGTGAATTGCAAGCATTGAAATATGAAATTCACAATAGAATAATTTATATATTAACTTACCAGTCTTTTTTCTCTGAAATCTATGCCAACTGTTGAAATGAAACGGTTATTGAAGGTTCCATCCGTGTACTGATAAAGGAAGCTTGTCTTCCCTGCTCCAGAATCACCCAAAGCCAGAAATTTAATTAAGTAATCATAATCCATTCTAGAAAGTAATCTGCCGCTGTATTTGAGGAAGAGAAATGATTAAGTATAGCTCAACAGTACTTGTAAAATAATTGTATCAGGTCTAGTTCTCCTCTTAAAAAGTCACTGCTAATCTTTCACAAGTGTACAGTCCTTTCAAGTTTCTTGTCCCCATTACAAAGTTTACACTAAAACTATATAGTTATTTACCCCCTACATCCTCACAATTTGTGCAATTTGACGCTTCCACAGCAATGCCTATGATGAGAACCGTATTCTGTGTTGTGACGACGTGTAGTCTGGTATAAGTCGAGCGACGTTTCGGAAGAATGTTTTGCCCCCATCTTCAGGGTCAAAGAAATGGCCCAGCAAACAGCACTAACGTCGTTGTTTCCTTGGTGGGCTATTTCATCCTGAAGGTGGGGGCAGTTCATTCGAAACGGCGGTAACCTCCATCGGACTGTACGGAATCACATAGCGAAGGTAGTATTGTTTATCCACAAAATAATCAGTAGATTTGGTTAGGCTAGGTCAGGTCAAAACATGTTAGGGTTGGATGATATCAACCATTTATTACATTTCTTTCATTTATGGAACATTTTACAAGTGTGCATAAAGTATGCAAGCACAATAAATCAATAACTTAACATCTTTAATATACGCAGATACATCTGCTGCCATATACCACTCACAATTTATTCTGCTACGTTGGCAGGACATGAATGTGGGTGAAACAAAATTTGTGGTCCCTACATGTTTAATTTCATCGTGTATATGACCGTAGTTGTAATTCACATCATAAACTGCTTCCTAGTTATTTTCATGTACTGTACTACTTTCTACGAAATATAACACGCATTGCACACCTACCTGTTGCAATGTCAACGCCCACTACAAAAACAAATGAAGGTGCCGGAGGAGGTAGAAACCAAAGAAACCATAGAGGTGATCATCTGACTGTCATTTCAGATTTGTTGTAGAATTCTAGTCAAACTTATGAGCTGCTAGTAATGGACGTGAAAGTAGAAGTCGAATACTGGTGAGCAATTTTGAACATGTGTGTTTGATTCACACAATGCCGTTTTAAAATAAACTGCCTTGTTACTGCTGTGTCTGTAATGTAGACGACGAAATTCGAAAACATCACGACATATGACCGTACTGTTAGATGCGGAATAAATTCATAATTCACATATTCATTTTCCATAAATCCATACAGAAAACAATTTCATAGTATGTGGAAATAGTCGCAAACAAAGCAGTACAACGCACATATAGTCACACATCAGAAAGTAAATAAAGTAAGCATCAACATGAACATTACTTATAACTAAAAAAATCTTAAGTTATTGTAGTATGAACATAATAATACTCTAGTAATAAAACCTAGTAAATGGCAACAAAGCAATAACAACGAATACATTCCATCGAATATATGTACATATATTTCTTTAAGGTTATAAGGAAGTCCATTAAAAACCTTTACTGCCATGTGATATACTTCTTTACTATATATGGCCAGGTTAACCTGATATATATGTAAATTAATATTTTGTCTGGTTTTTACTTCATAATAATCCTTATTTGTAACAAATTTATCTCATATTTATTACAAACATCATTAGTGAATATATATACTGTGATTTTAAGGGCAGTATGTAAAATGTGAGCATATTTTCTCTAGCATGCTAATAAAATAACTGTGAAGTATGATTATATTTGAAAACATAATAAATTAAAATTTGAGATAAAGTTGCAGAAAATTATATTGTGCATATTTTGAGTGAGCATAAGGGCCGAAGAGCGAAGTGTTAAAAACACTTTAGAAATTAGAAGTCTTAATGTGTAGAGGCACCTGGTTTTGGTAAGTCTGCTAGCAGTTCAAATCTGTGAGGTACAAGTTTATATGAGGAGTGGCTATTGATTCTGTTGAAGGGGTCAAATAAGTTCTCAGATGATCGCATTATATATGTTGTTTGAATGTGTAATGTATGATATTTGAGGTTCTCAGTATGGTGACTATGAGGAATACAGTCTTGTGTGGATTACTTCCATATGCCAGAACTAAACTTCATAGTATTGGAGCAAAAAACTATATGAAATAAGTTCTGTAACATCACACCACTATGTATGTATTGTCTTCCCATGCCTCAGCATTAACATTTACAGTGTTTATCTTTCTCTGCTTGCTGCTAGATCTCATAGCGACATGATAGTAATAAGTTGCATTATCCATTCTTTTATTGCGTAGAACAAATGGAATTCTACTTTTTTGTGAATTTTTCTTACAGTGGCTCTTGTGGCTATAGTTCTCGTTTTGAGGAACTAGCAAGCCAAATACGTGCTAGTGTACCTACATCCGATGTACTGGGCAAAGAGGGTCGTAGAGGTAAGAGTGAGGGAATTAGTAGGTGATTATGTTGTAGGACAGTGTAATGCCAATTATGATGAAGCAGGACCAGTGGAATATTTTCAAAAGATTCTGTTGATATTGAATAGGTTACAGATTCACCCACTGCTCTCCCATCATGCCACCTGCATCCTCTTGTACGTTGGACAAGGTGTGTACGTCACAGTAGTATTCAGTGATGTCCAGGTGAAAGTTTTCATGTACCTTATGTGGATAAGTAATGTTATATGCGGTTTATTTTATTTATTTATTTTAGTTATCTTGATTTAGATTGTTTTTGATTGGTTAGTAACATTCATGTAATAGTGTTTATCATGCAAGGTGATGTGGTGGGGTATCAGTAACAATATCTGTACTTTACTGCATGTAAAGAGGAAACTCAGGAACAGCATAATGTCCCAAATTTTATTTTAGTGAGTGAGAGAGAGAGAGTTTAAAATATCAGTTAAAAGAAGTCAGTAGTATCACCAAGATGTACAAATTGATATAGATTTTGGCCCTTGCAACATCAAAAATTTCTCGTTCTAACTTAAATTTTGTTACAAGATTATGTTAGATTTGAGGCAGTGAAGATGACTGTCTTCTGGGGCTTGATACAGAGACTGCCTGAAATATATTGGAGAGACAGCACATTCCTCTGGAATGTCAGTAACTTCTACCAGACTACAAGGGCATCACATCCCAGAATACATTTATCTTAAAGACTGTGAAAGTACACAAGTGCACACTTAACAGGCATGTTCCACAGAAGCAACTGTAAATGATGTGCTAACTCCATAAAGTAAAAAAGTAAAGCTGTCCCTGTACGAGGCTGTGAAGGCCCATAGGGTTGTGAGGTGTTGAGGGTCCCACATTATCTAGGCAATCGGCTCAAAGATGGCGGTAAGGTTGTCAGCCTTACGCGCCGGCCACGCTTTACTCCCCAGGAAAATTATTTAATTCCTGGTACTCATTTCTGTTAGAGGCTGAGTGAACCCCAGGGCCATAGTGAGGCTGGAAGGATTAGGTCAATTAAAAAAGAAATCCAGTGACCTCATTGGGACTTGAACCCACGACCTTCTGGCTTGTAGCATAGCCCCTCAACAAACTACACTACCGCGTGCCCCCAAATTGTTCACTGTAGTGAAATGAAGTTTGTTAAGTGATAAATAGGTCCAAATTAACATGATTTGCTGTAGTAAAAATTTGAAAATTGAGTGTAAGACAATGGATACCTGTATGTTTAGTAGATCTCAATATGGGCACACTTCAAGGTGATATACAGTTTCTCAGCAGGTATTGGTGAGCATTTTGTTGGTAATACGCTCTGCATCTCTAACAGTTCTAGCATTCTCCTCATTCACATTTTGCAACATTTCTCAATATACACCAACTTTTACAAATACACAGAAGAAAAAATCTGAGGTGGTAAGATCTGAAGAATGATCCACAACTTAGGAAACTCCCTGTCCAGAAAGGCATGAATTTGGTGGGAGAAGTGAAGTGTGGTTACCATCTAACTGGAAAATCGTTCCTCAGGAATATCATGCAAAGCATAGCCCTTCTCCATAGTTATGAACATTCCCTCAGTCACCCTCGGCTCTGGATAGAGGACCAATAACGTTTTTAATCATGGCACACTGTATGTCGGACTTTTGTGAATCATGCTCATGTTCAGTAACTTCATGAGGATGTCACCTCATCACCACACACGACAGTTATGCCTGTTGCCTGTTCCAGACACAAAAAATCGCTTCAGCAGAATAATAAAGAATAGTAAGAAAGCATTTTAAGCTGTTTTCTTGATCTGTGCATGTTATCTTCTGGACCAGCTGAAGCTTGTAAACATGCAGTTGTCTTCTTTTCTGCTGCAGAACATAATACACAGTTCAGTGAGGCAGCCCTCATTCTAAATGTTCTTGTGAGGGCTCCCCTGAAATGTTTCATGTATGCATCTGACATTGTCCTAGGGAACCATGTGGCATGGAGACCGATTCTGTTGCAAGACTCCGCATCTCCTTCAGATGCTTGTCCCAATGTATGAATGCAATAGTGCATCCCAGATCTGTAAATTGGTGTTGTTTGGTTTTGATATGCCTTAAATATAATTGAATATGGGCATGGAATTTAAACACTCCCAGCCACAGAGTGCAATCCACTTTTCTTCTGCATGGAGTACATCTCTTCAGCTGATATGATGGGGTGGAACTGCTCTATATGTGCATGGAAGGTGGCCTGACCTAGCAAGATGAAAACTTGGAGAGCTACTATATTACATGAAAATGTTCACAGCTTGGTGTCTCATATGTAGTAATTTAATTTATTGACATTTAGTGCCAGACATTGTGTATATTGAAGTTCAGAAATACAGACACGGTGTTGCTTTTATTTAATTATATCAAAGACTATTAGACTCGAGGAGAAAGTATATTTGAAATAAAATATGCTTCATTTTTCTCTGCAACATTTTTTGCTCTGGTAAATAGTGAGTTACGTGGAAGATGTGCACAGAGATGCATGTACGTTTTCAGATAAAGTGACCATCATCATTCTCAGATTGTGATAAGAGCTGGAACTTAACAAACAGATTTTATTAGAATTCCGCATTATTGAATTTCATGAAAATATATTCAGTGGTTCTTGAGGTTTCTTTGGTAAGGACGGATGGAGCAAATTTAATAGGAGTTCCACAGAGTTGTGAACATGCCTAAGAATGCTACCTTATCAAGCATAGGTATTAATGGAAGATTAGGTGAAACTTATGTAGTTGTGTCTATCACAAATGTCACGTGAATTGGCTAGAGGTTTCAAACCCAGGTCTGAAAGTCCACTTTTGTGATGAAATTTTGAAAAATGGTGCCACATCTCCACATGATGAGGATTTGTGTACATGGTTTTGGATTGAATGCAAATCATTAATATTCCTGTAATTCACGAATTTTCAGAAAAAAAAACCCGTAAAGCTGACTCTCTGCTTAATTAAGCACCACTCCATGAAGACATATGGGGAAGTGGAGGTATAGCTCCACAGACCTTGACTTCAGCATTAGAGGTGAATAGTCACCTTCATGCCCTAGCCACTTTACCGCTTGGGAGAGTACTGTAGAGAAGATTAGAATCTCTCGTCCCTGCCAGGAATTGAACCCCGGCATTCCAGCCTGTGGTCTGTCCCCATACTGATTGATATCTCCTGGCTTTAGTTCATAAATCTTAAATTACATTGCATTTCCTGGATCCAAAGTTAGTCAAAATGACTGTAGGATGTGGAATAGTACAAAAACATATGTACGGTACAACTATTTTGTAATACTTTAGCAAAATCAGTTATTTATTAGACCTCATATATTTCATCACTACATGTACATCACATGAAAATGAAGCTAGAAATTCTTACATGAAACGTGTATTTTCTCAGAGTTGTAACAGAATTTAACAAATTGAAAGAACCAAGTACGTGCCACTACAGCATTTTGTAAACTTGCATTACACATGCCATTATTTTGGTACAAAATATTACTTTAACACAGATTGAATTATATTACATTATATGTTTATAATTTAGTATTACTACTTCTTCTTCTTGGATGTCTTCTTCCCAGCAGACTTTCCCCCATATTTCTCAGTCAGCATGTCAAAGAAAGAGTTCATTTCTGTAGCACGCTGCTGCTGTTTCTTCTGAATCAGCATGCTAAGATCCACATCATCCTTTTCCTGCTTCAGCTTTGCTGCCTCCTGGGCTTCTTTTTCCCACTAAATAAACATTTCATGAACTTATCAGTTCCAGTGAACAATAATAATATGACCTGCGTAAGATTTGAGGTTTTGACGGTGGTGACTATGAAGAAAGCAGTCTTCTGGGATGTGACGCCGTGTAGATATTGCGTTAGCTGATGTTTCGGAGGAATGTATCATCTCCATTTTCAGGGTAGAAGAAAAAAATAAAACTTGCGTCTGTTAGTACCTGCTCACGCTGGTTCCTCGCTTGTGGATTTTCTTCTTTTTTTCTACCACCCTGAATATGGAGGCGGTATGTTCCTCTGAAACATCAGTTAACACAATATCTACACGGAGCCACATCCCACAAGACTGCTTTACTCTAATAATATGACCTATTTATTTATTTGGTTTGTAAAGTGATATTTGAGTAAATGACATGATGAGAGTAGAAATGGCGTATTTTAAGGTATTCACCTGGTGAGGCAAGTGGTATCCAATCAGAACTCAACTGAATGCCCCTGAATGCAAGTCACATGTGTTCCCGCTGTGCCATTCTACCCGGTATATCATATGACAGAATGTTAAGTTTAATATATTAATAAACATGCCTCAAAATCTAGGTTTTTATAAATGTGAATGCATGTACTATTTGGTGCAACAAATTCACATTACTGATTTTAGGCTTTCATGGTCATTACTTATTGCTGTTCTGTTCTTTGGGTTTTATACTGTGGTTTTGGGCAGTGATGCAGACAATTCAGAGGTACATGCTGCCTTCATCTACAGGGTCAAAGTATGTAGGTTGGTGGGTTACTCTGTATATGAGGTCTGACGGTAAAGTTTCCAAACTCGCCACTGTCTGCTTGCCATGGCAGCAGTGGGACAGAAACCTCAGTATGGTTTGATGATGTTGGCATACCAAGTACTGGAAGTACTGAAAAGGTTGCATGAAAAAGTTAAGACAGAAACAGCCTAAACTTTTTGCCAATAACTCGTGGATCACGACAGTGCACCTGCTCACATGGCACTGTCCTTGAAGGAGTTTTTAGCTAGTAAACAAATAATTGTGCTAGAACACCCTCCCTATTCACCAGATCTACCCCCAGTGACTTTTTTCTGTGCCCAAAGATAAAGGAAATATTGAAAGGAAGGCAGTTTGATGACACTGATGACATCGGCGTAATATGACGACAGCTCTGAAGGCCATTCCACAAAATCAGTTCAAAACTGTTTTGAAGGATGGACTAGGTGCTGACATCAGTGCATAGCTTCCCAAGGGGAGTACTTTGAAGGTGTCCACAGTGATATTCAGCAGTGAGGTATGTAGCACTTTTACTGCGATGAGTTCAAGAACTTTGTCAGACTGCATATATATAATATTGCATTTATTTGAGATGGAATGGTGGAAGGGGGGAACTAGTGAGGACTGGTGTCTCATCTATGCCAGTGGGCACAGTGGATCAGCAAAAGCCCTGCCAAAGGCCCCTTTGAGGGCCAAGGAAATGCATATAAAACCCTTGACAACTGATGCTCTGGAGCAGTCACCGATCCAAGCGCTCACCAGGCAAAATGTTACTTAAATTTTACTGTGACTCAAGTGGCATGAACAGTGGTGGGGAGGTCACTTCAACCCTGAAGATGGAGGCACATCATCATCACCCAAAATTCTAACTTTTCAAAGTCTATCTTAAAAATTTGAAAATAAAAAATAATTTCTTAAATTTCCATCCATTTATTTTTGTCATAACATGGTAGCTACTGGCGGTGCAAAGATAAAATACTTAAATGTAGAATGACCTGAGATGAATGCGGTGATGTGTATTGAACTGAAAAGGCAGTGGAAATAGTTGCAGTCTACTTCAAGGTACAATCCTGATATTCACTTAGAGGGGCTGAGAAAATTATGAAAACTTGCAGATACCCAGTGCCTCAGCCAGTATTTGAACCAGCCGGTTCCGACATACATAAGATGTACAACTGTTCGTGTTAATTTGCTGAATAGAATAAGATTTGTGTGTCTATACAGGACCTACGTCCATCCATATAGAAAATTGGAAGAGATTAAAATTATGGAAGTTACTTATCCCACCATGCCACAATATCTTCATAATTATATAAATATCAGTCTGAACTAAAGTATGGTTAACACAAAAAATCATATCTAAAATGTTCATTAAACCATGCACAGTAAAGTAAAATTCACTAACTGTATCATACCTAACACTGATTGAAAATGCTGCAGTAGCTGGAAATTCTTTCCACTGATGAATCATTGAATACTGCAATGTGTTTATCTTATATACAAGACACAGTGAAACATACAAATACTGTGTGAATCAGTAACTAGTTTTATACGTTTACGTGGTCAGGGACTGAGGAACAGGGTGTTATCAGACACTACTGAAAGCTTTTTTGAAATATGCATCATGTTCCACACAACTGAACATGTAAGTTATCTCTGTGTTTAAACTAATTAAGCACAACGCCATGAAGGTGTAAAGGGGGGGGGGAGGTTATGATCTACATTTTAACCTCAGCATTAACTGGAGGTGAGTGGTCAGCTTCATGGCCTGACTGCTTTACCCCCAGGGAAAGAGCCCCTGGTACCCATTGGATAGGAGGTTGGGTGGACCACAGAGCTGGTATGGATCACTTGGAGAAGGGAAAATTCTTGACCCTACCAGGACTCGGAACTCCAACCTCCTTGGTTGTCCAGCCTGTAGCCAGTCACTATACCAGTTGAATGTGTTGGACAGATATTTTATTACCTTTCTCTTCCTTCGTTCTCGTTTCCTGGGTGTCTCATCTGTAAAAGCCTTGTGCTCTGGTACATCTCCTTTGTCAATCAGTCCCTGGATAAGTTCTCTGAGTCTTGGTTCCTCATCAGTATGAGAAAATGGCACAGCCTCCAATATAAAATCCATATCTCCTTTTCCATCCAAATAAGCTCGTTTCAGATCACCAAGTTCTTCCTCTGAGCCTGAGGTAATGAGCACATAGTTCATTCTAACAATACATTATTCTGAGCAGGATGAAATTTTCTAACTGAAAATCAAAATATTTTTTGAGGGGATGGTGGGCTTATTAGGAAAGGGTGATACAGGGTCAGCCAGGTCATGTTCCTTTCAGGACTGCTGTTTTTTATAGTTATTACCTTTGTACTTCTTCTCATAATCAGTAATATCTTTCACAGTAATAGGTTTAAATAGCATCCTCCAGTATTCATTCCAATCCCTCTCCACAATGTCATCATTCTCTTCATCACAGTCACCTGAAAAAAATATAAATACACATTGATGAGAATGCATTTTGCACGACAGACATCAGAACCGAAAATCATCCATAACATTACAAACACTTGCCTGATTCATCATAAATGGCTCTTTTCTCTTTGTCGCTTAAAATAGAATGTATCTTTCCCAAAACTTTGAATTTCTCAGTGGCTTCTATTTTCTCTTTTTCTTCTACTCGGTCAGGGTGAACCAATAATGATAGCTTGTGATATGCCTTTCGAACTGAAAAATAAATATGTATACAAACAATACCTCTACGAGATTGGGCAGCGCCAAGTGCTCTTTGTGTCAGTGCAGCAGACGGAAGAAAGAGGTTAGGAAGTAAATTTATGAAGTGCGTTTACCTTGTTTCTGATTTGCGATGTTAGGAATCTTCAAAACTTCATATAAGTCTCTACTTTGAAAGTATTTTTCACATAAATCATGTAAGCTAGGCATCGTGCGTAAGTGATACACATTAGCAAGTACCTATAGCACAAACTGTAGCAGCAAACTTTTCAGGTTTACAGTTTCGGCGCCAAACAGTACTCAAGAATCAGAAGCGATCACAAGAATACACGTGCGATACGTAATCGATCCTACTGATCACTACTTACATCTGATTTCAATTCATTTGTATGTTTGGTAGAACGACGTCCAGTTTTAGTTAATGTGCCGTGATTGTCGTGATATGTATCGATATTTATTTGTGTATGTGCATGTAGAGCCGTCTGGAATCGAAGTTTAGTTACCTTGTATTTAATCATTAAACGCCCTATGCCAAACTTGCATTTTTTTGGCTGTGCATATAAATATGAAATAAATTATGTGGTGCACTTCTGGGATGTGTAAGCGACCTAATACAAGAGTTTATGGAGCAAAATATGGATCCCTGAAAGTACGTCTGCTATATCTAATTCTTCGGGAAATCTTTGTGATCATCGGGCTTCATGAATTATATAACCGTGCGAAATGCGGGCGTAACGTCTGGTAGATCCTTTGCTGGGAATGCAATTTTGTGCTCTTCTAACCTCAAAACTATACTATTAGGTCTCGCAATGTGCTATATACGGTTAGTAGTCTAGTAGGTAGTGGCCGAACATTTCCTAAGCTGCTACCCCAATCTCCGCGGAAACCGTGGGAATCACCAACGAAGTGAAGCGGTCGTAAGCCTGAACACAGTTTTAATTTCTGTTGCTGTGAAAACATCAGATCTCGTCTGAAGGAAGAAATGTTAAGAATTTGGGTCAATTTGACATTTCATGGAAAATATTACAAGTCATTAAAGGAGGCCGGTAAATTTAAAACCACCCTGAATCAAGTGGTATGGACGATTCTTGTTTAAAAGTGGGAGTTCGATACGGCTTTATCTCATTTGTTTTATATTTATTTCTTTATGACCTATTTAACGACGTAATTATCCCAAACCATGTAGGGTCAAATGTTAAGAATAACAAATTTGGAAAATTGTGGTATAATTAGAGGTATTACCCTGGCATTGCCTGGAGGGGAGGGGCTGAGGAAAGGTATGACAAGCGTCATGTAGGATAGATTGTGTCCAAGCTAAGATTCGAACTGTACATCTCCTAAATAGAAGCCAAGCATTACTGCTGGAACCAGCTTGCTCAGTTACACCATGGCTTTCAGCTGTTTGGTATATGAAGTTATCTGTCCAAATGGGTTGGTCTAGAAGAAATACTGTAGACTCGTATTGAGGAGGTGCCCAGTTCGAATCTCAGCAACTCAGACACTGGCTGTCCAGACAGGTTTTTTTTTTTCGTGGTTTTCTTCACTCGCTCTATGCAAATGCTGGGACAGTATCTCGATTAGGCTACGACTATTTCTACTCCAATCTTTTCCAAATTCATCTTCATATCAGTAGTCTTGATAATGAAAGTGTTATGGAATAACCAATGAAAAAATGGTCGTTCGATAAGGAACTACTGGCCTGTGTTCCCAGGATCATTTGAGGTGACAGTTAATGGGACTTTGGTGTACTCCAAGCTGTCTACAATGGCATTTCCAGATTTCAAAAATGTTGCTGATATTGTCAGTGATGCAGCTAATGGGAAGGAGGTGATACCTGTATCCAAGCAACAGCCAATTGACTGCATTATTTTGTAGCAGAGCGCTTGTAATGGTAAGTATGTACATACGTATATTTCACAAGTCCAAAATACAATGAACATGAAACTGGTCACAAGTATAACACAAACAAAAAAGTTGAAAGACAATACAAAGCTAAACAAACAATGTAACTAACTACTATATGCTCCAAAAATTCATCAACTGTATAAAATGAATTATTCATAAGATATGAAAATAAATTATTTTTAAAACTGATTCTATCCTTTCTAAGACTTTGAATGGTCTTTGTCAGTCTATTAAATAACCTAATACCAGTAAACATAGTGCCCTTCTGGAAAGCAGAAAGATTTGAAGTTGGAATGTAAATTTGATTTTTGCTTCTAGTGTTCAGGCCATGAATCTCTGAACCTGAACAGAAATAATTTTAATTATCAGAAACAACATCAAAGAAAAATATATTCACATTACAATGGTAAAATATCTAATTTCTTAAAAAGATTTCTACCTGAGTCTCTGTATCCCACTCCCAATACTGTCCTTATCACTTTCTTTTGTAATTTAAAAACTCTAGAATTATTATTCATATTGCCCCAGAGGACTATTTCATATGTAATATAAGAAAAATACACCATTTGCAGGGTTTTTAAATTCATAAAATAAGGTAAACTCCTAATTACAAAAAGTAGCAGAACTGAGTTTAGGCCTTCCTAAACTCAGTATTCCACATGACTCTTCCCATTCGATTTATTATCAATTTGTATGCCCAGAAATTTTATTACAGGGACGTCATTCATTACCACATTTCCAAAGAATACTGCCAGCAAATAGATAGCAGACTGTTTAGGAGCAAAATTAATATTAGTTTTTGCTAATATATAAGACCGACTTATTCACTATAAACCCATTTACAATGAGAGGCAAGGTATCCACAACTTTGTGCTTAAGTGCACAGTGATTTTTTCCAGTGACCAAAATACTGGTGTCATCCTCCAAGGGAAAAACATTGGCAAATTTACTGATGCATAATGGCAAGTCGTTAATATAAATAATAAACAGAAGTTGTCCTAAGACCAACCCCTGAGGAACTCCTTGCTTAACTTTTTTCCATTTGGAGAAATAATCATGATCATCATCAATTCTGAGATGCACTCTTTGTTTTCTGTCTGATAGATAGGATTTAAACCAGTTTAAATTACAATCCTGAACACCATAATGTTCTAATTTGGATATTAATATCTCATGATGATCAGATACACTGCTGAAACCAAAGAGTCTCATTTAGAGCATGGGCTTTCAGAGTTTACCATGCTCTTGCATACCTTTAGGTATGGAGTTACATTACATTCCCTGAATCCAAAGTTAGTCAAAATGACTGTAGGCTGTGGAATATGTCATATAAATAAGAAAACATGTGTACGATACAACTGAAGTTTTGACGCAAGAAAACTCTGTGGTTACACACGGAAAAAAAAACCTCTGTGGCTTTAATCAGTAAGCAAACTATACCAACGGAGCAACTGCTGCTTGTCAGCGAAGTTAGTGCCAACACTAGTGGATAGAGGGTGTTGCATGGTTAGAGCAGTGAATCCCCACCGCTGTTAATTTCTGTTTTCTAGACCAGAGCAGCTACTTTTACATTCAGGTAACTCCTCAGTTATCCTCATGATGCTGAGTGGACTCCATTCCATACCCACTACTTCTCAGAAAATCTGGTAGTGCCAGGAATTGAACCTGGAACCTCTGGATCTTTAGCCAGTAACTCTGACCATTAGACCACAGAGATTACACATGACGATATTCAAAAATACATCCACATACATCAGTATTATCAATTTATGCTATTTACATGACCTTTAAATGGATGAATCTCATCTAAGACAATTAGTATTTGTCAGCAGAGTGGGTTCAGTGAAACTTGTAGATTATACATTGTTGCATGTCAATATGAGGCTGTACGGTAATGACATGAATCTGAGTAGGTGTACAGCCCCTATACACCTACAGTAAGCTAGGAAGCGTTTCTGTAGTCATTGAACATTTTGCTAGCTGCAGCTGAATTTTTTTAAATTACCTATATTAAATCTTACTGATGGTGCCGAGCTGTTGAGAATTTTTTTTTTCAGAACTTAATCAAAATCTTTGAGAAATCATGAGGTAGAATAATTTCTAAACATCCTTTTATTTTTTCCATCTTAAAAGAAGCAGAAAATGAAAAAATTAGAAAGTTATTTAGTTGAAGTTATTCATTGACTGTCACATAATTCTAATAGTTAACACTTTGCGGACCGCGAACCCTTTAAAAGGTTTTTCGCTTTTAAACATGGCGGACTGTTCGCGTGTTAACAGGTTTTTAAAACACAATAAGTTGCAACACACTATACATCTCTCTGGCTCCACCTAGGCAGCACGTAGCTGCTTGCAGCTGCGTTATAAGGCTCTGGAATGTCTGCTGACCAATCAGTTACTAGACCTTGCTGTAACTCTATGCCCGTGCAAAGGAAAATAAATGCCTTTATTTCTTCAAGCTTTACGTAGCAAGCTGTCAGTCAGTAGTTCAATATGGATCAAAGACCAAAAGCGGTTGACACCCAAGCGATTTCTTGGAGAACAAGAAATATCTGACTTCTTCTCCAATGAGCTATCTGACGTCCCTTGTGAGTCTGCTAGTGATAGCGACTCACAATCTGATAGTGAGTGTGGCAGGGGCGAACAAAAAATTGTGACCACAGACAGTGAAAGTGAAAGTGACTGCGACGAAGGTGTG